GACCTTGCAGTATTTAAGTGCCTAATTGAATACAGTTTCATACCAGATAGAGAGTTAAAAGAATCAATACATATGCATATAGAGCAGAATGGAGGGCGACCCTAGGCCCCCATCACTTTGCCAAGTCTTAAACTCACTTACCAATTTGGTGTTTTTACTTCTGTTCTGTGTTTTGGTATTGGATCCCAATTTTCATCAAGTGTTTCCTGTCTCTGTGGGATCGACCCTTTTTATCACTTACTACAAGATTTAAGTAGGTTTATTTTGGTGGTCTCGACACCTATCATGTACCCAAACTGTCGCGCAACCCTAACAGACTCGTGGGGTTATTTAATAGCCCAACAAAACATCCACGTCCTGGCCATCCAAATGGCTTTTCTAGCTTTACAGAAATCAAGGAGTTTTGGAAGGGTGGTCGCATAGGATTGCTAGCAAACGATGAGTGCATGCGTACAAGACATCCGGTACTCTTGCCACTTCCTACACGAACACCTATATTCATCATAGTTCACCGTATACACAGAGCCACCCCTGCCACTTAGCCGTGTAGCAGTAACCACCCACCACCTACCATCATCACCATCAAAAGGTCCGGCATCATAGCTGGCTGCTTTGTTGTTCATTTTCTCGTATTTTTTCCATAACTCGGGAGGGATCGATATTATGCAATTTCTCGCCAACAGTTGTTTTTCTCTGTAGAATTTCACAGTTTTGTGAAAGGTTGCATCGATCAAAGCTCTGATTGGTAAAAATCAGATCTCTTTCAACGCGTCGTTGTAACTCTCAAAAATGTTAGTTGTCACTATGCCCCAACAACGATGATCGGCTTTTAATCGAGTCCAGTTACTCCCTCCAATCCCTCAAAGATACTCTTATGCCGCAGGTTTGAATTCACTAAGCTCTACCCTCATACGATTGTATTTTTGTACTGAAAGCATCATGCCCATCTTCCAACATAACCACTTCACCTTTTTGCTCTTATGTCGTGACACAAGATTGCTGCAAACGTGGCGGAGGCATTAAAAGTGGCCACCATCTGTGACATTGCGCTCAACAACCCTGCATTCCGGTCGGGTATCACACTTACAATTGTATCCTGCAGAACATAATACCTCAAATGACTCATAAAAAATGTCTAACTCTCTACTGTCCCGTCATCCACAATCGCAAATGCAACCGGTAAAATGTGTTTGCTTGCATTATAGACCACCGCAACAAGCAATTTACCCTTCTATGGTAAACGTATCATACTTAAAAGTTAAAACATTTCAAGACATGTAACCCACATATATATATATATATACATACAAATAACAATTATAAAAATTGATATTTACCTAGGAAGTTCTTCAAAATTCGAGGTCCTTCAGGGGCAATGGATTAAGGTTCCTTTCCTCATTTTGCAAGAATCCATCATCACTTTCCTCGACATCACTATCTGAAAAGAACTTATGGTCTTCTTCGCTTTTGCTTAGAGCTACGTAGCCGGAATCCTCCTCTTCCATGTAGTCATCTTGTGAAGTACTAGCACGGTTTTGAAAAGTACTAGCACGTTCCACCATTGGAAAACTACCCTCCATATTGTTTTCCAAACTCGCTTCTCTTTCTTCATGAGTGATATCTTCCAATTTATGTATAAATCCAAACATGATATTGGAGCTACACAGTTCAGAACTCTACATGTGAATCATTCTTGATCTTCATTACACGCCTACCAACGGGACTATCAAAAATTACAGAAAGGTAGAGTTTCAGGTATGCTGGATCCCAACCAAGTATCATACAAATCTTACTAATCAATTCGACATATGACAACCTTTCCTCAACATACAAGACATGGTCCGACAAATTCGAAAAAGTGTGGATGATACCATTATCCATCACATACTTACTTGTATAAAACAAATTAAGCATGTATGACACATTAAATATCATTTCTAACTATTAAAAAAAATTCATCAATATCTAATCATTTCTTAAACAAATACTTATGTCTTTCAATAATTATTCCTCCTATACTTGATTACATTATCAAAGTTTATATAAGACTACTAAAATAATACTCGCTACTCCATAAAATAGCATCATTGAAGTTAAACTATCACCTATAATAATAAAATCAACAAATACACCATGCATACTTCATTCTAAATTCAAAAAACATATAAAATGCTAAAATACTTAGAAATCAACTTGCATATCTCATGAAATATAATGAACAACCATGATTTCTCATCTATAACCTCAAAATCAACACCTAAACATACATTCATTCAAACATCCAAACAAATAACAAACAAAAATCTTAAACTATCAATACATCATTTTTAACAATCAAAATAACACAAAATCAAACTAAATAACATGATTTTACTCACTAACCTCTTTCAAATAAAGATTCCTAACTTATTTAGCGGTAAGGTTGCATGAAGAACTCCAAATCGCCACCCAAGAACCGTAGAATCAAAAAAAAAAAAAAAAATTCATTTCTCGACTGAGAACTGTCTTTTTCTTTTCTTTTTATATCACGCTAAATTCGTATTTCCGAAATCCGAATCAATAAATAACTCGGATGTCGCAAATCCGGTTTTACAATGATTCGGATTAACGAAAACCGGTGTAATTTAATTACGGATTTTTTATTTCCGTTTATTGGTCCTCCAATTTATGACAGATGCCTACTTTTATCAACCAAAATTTAATGAAAACGGATTTCACAAATCCGAGGTTCTTGGGTCGGATTACCGAATTCAGTTTTTTGCATTCAAATATTTTGCGCCAATATTTTCAAGCAAATTATTTTAATTCACCATATTCGGATTATTGAAATCCGATTGTTACTGTTCATATTCTGACTTTTTTTTACTATATTTTCAAAAAACAAAATCAATTATTTTAATATTAAATAATAACTCAGATTTTCAAAATCCGAGTGTCTAATTTTAATCCAGATTCGGATTTGCTAAATCCGACGCGAATAGTTTTGTCCACATATATTTGCAAAAAATTAATTTTGCCTACGGTTTTTTTAAGTAAAAGACCCCTCATTTGACTGTCTTCTTTACAATTATATTAAATTCTTCCCAATCGGATAAATCAAAATCAACTATCTCATTCTGCATATATCCGTCGTGATGCCGTGCCCAAAATTAATTTAAACCATTTTCAGTACAATTTACAATGTGAAGTTGTGAACTATTTTTTTGAGACTTATGGATATATTATGTTACGAATATGATACATCCAGTTAAAATAAATACGATTTCGCTTAGTTGTTGACTTCTCCTTGTTGCTGCCTGTAATGCATCCATCTTCATGAACAACCTTTTAACTCATTTTGCTCCTTTTTTATTTTCTCTCTGGGTTATTGTTTTCTCTTCTTACTATGATTCATTTAGTTTCTACCCAAAGAAGTATATCTTTAATTTTTATGACTTTAATTTCTTTTGGTGCAAGAATGATGAGATTATCTCTTTTGAGAAGAAAGGTCTCCCAACAAATATTTGTCGATAATTTGTTATGAATTTCAAATGGTGAGTTTTGAGTTGGAAAGGAGGTCAGAAGGGATGTTTTTCTAGGCATTGAATTTGAAACCTTCCAGTTCCATTAGTGGTCCTGGCTCATTAGCTAGATCAATGGTCTTATTCATAAACAATTTAATGTGTAGTTTTTCAAACTGCGAAATAGTTTAATCCAATCCAAGAAGTCATTATCCATTGTGAAGAATTCCCGAGTGCATGAACGTTTACTAATTTGTAGGGAACGGGAAAAGACAGAGAATCAATATTAACTTATAGACTATATAGTCCATAGTTTTGTTGTTGACTTCTTGTTTGTAAGTTGTAACCATCTTCATGTTCAACTTTTCAACTCATCTTACAGCTCTGTTAATTAGTTTCTCTCTTTGATGTTTCTTTTCTCTTCTGTTTTGATTCTATTAATTTCTTTTCAGTTTTCCTAGAAGAACTAGCGACATGGTCTCCAGCCTCATTACTTGTATTCGTTCTCGGGGTTGTTGTTTCCCATTCCAATATCAATCTTCTTCTTCTTTTGATACTTTTCATTCTTTGGACCATTCAGATACTTCCTCGGATGATTTCCAGGTGAATAACAACATTGCTTCAACCCATCTCATTACTTGTATATGTTCTGCCAGAGATGATTTAGACTTGCTCAAACGGGTATCGCATCACGGATTTGATGGATACTATTTTGAGAGACTTAGATATGTGTTCAGGAATCTCAAAATGTTTGTCCTGTCTACCAGTACAATGTTGGACATCGGTGGAAGTTTAGGATCTTTATTGGTTAAGATTGAACCAGAAGTTCGCGATGTAGCCAGGGGAATTCATGTCCTCTGCTTCGCCGATGATGATTCAGCTGATTTTTCATGGAGACTGAGCCTGCTGAGTTACTTGGAGTGATTAAACCTTCCCTGGATGAAATAGATGAGTGGTATCTTTCTGCCTTCGATGATGGGATGCCGCGATCCACTTCTCTTCCGGAAGATCAAGTCTTGGATATCATTACAACCTGTTTGGAGACTCTACCGCATTTTCACACTATCCAGGTTGGTCATCGTTTAGACATTTCAAAAGGGACAGAAGCTTTACAAGAAAAACTGTCATTCTTGAAAAGTCTTATCTGCTTTGGCACACACAGAAACATTGAATCTGCAAAAGAATTGTTGTCTAACGCGGAAGCTACTGCTATCTGTGCTGCACTTCTGCTCTTTACTTGTAGATATTGATCATGATATAAATAAAGTAGACCCAGTGACCATCAGGTTTGAGATGCCAACAATTTGTACAGAAGATGAAGCTCATTGAGAAGGTCCACGAGAGCTACATTCATGTTTTAAGTGGCTCAAAGTTTCCAAGATCATCTGTTGCCCCTACCACTGATGATAAACTCATGGATTATTTTTCCAATTCATCTTTATCAATCGCGATGATGGACATTCTTGATTATCTCATATCTACTTATGGAAGCTGATAGCAATGGAACCGGTTGGTGTGGTTTCTATGAAGGGTCAACTGCAAGAGCTATTTGCACAACTTCGATCCTTAAGGAAATTTCTCGAGTTGCAGCCAGAAAAATTTGTTGAGGAAGACATCATAGCTGTGGTATGTGATGCTGGAGTTTTAATTTTCTCATCATGGTACCCTGAACATGTTGTAGTTGACCTTGGACTCCAGAATTTGTTTCCAACAATCAAGTTTATTTTGGCAAAATCTGGGGAGGAAGACCAAAAAAATCTAAAGTTCAACTTTCAAATGACTAATCATCTTGGTTTCGTCGATTTTGTATTGCGAAAGATCTCTGAGCTGACAAACTACAAAGTTGGACAAACTGCCAAGAGTCATCTTCTGTCTATCAAAGAAGAGCTTGCTTACTTGAGATCTTTCATGGGGGAAACTGTGGAGTTGCGCAGCACACATCAGGGATTACAAGCTCTATGGGACCGTATTTTGGAGGTGGCATACAATGTAGAGGATATCTTTGACAACCTAGCCATTGGTGATCTTTCAGATTCTGCTTCAACATCATCGTTTGATTTCATTGGGACAGACATTGAGAACATTAAAACAGATGTGTTGAAGGCTTACCATATCGAGGTGGGACGAGAAATGGAAGGCAAAGAAGAAACTGGGACTTGTTATCAGGTGTCATCAGAAATTACTCCATCAACAACTCATAAAATCGTAGGTTTCACTTGTGAGGCATGCTCAATAATGAATCGGTTCAAGAGAGGGTCAAAGAAGTTGCAGATCATTCACATTATGGGTATGCCAGGACAAGGGAAAACCACATTGGCAGCAAAAGTTTATAATGATCCTTCAATTGAGAGCCATTTCGTGGTCCGTGCATGGTCTCCCATCTCCCAAGTAGTGGATAGAAAGAGAGTCTTACTTGAACTCTTATATCAGACTAATCCAAACAACAATTATTATGAGATGAGTGAAAATGATTTGATGGACAAGTTGAGGCGCAGTTTAAAGAAAATGAGATATCTCATCTTTCTTGATGACATATGGCACATCGATACATGGAGCAAACTTGAGGGATCATTCCCTGATGACCATGTTCAAAGTAGAATTATTATAACTAGTCGTCATCATAATGTTGCTCCACCTTGTATGCTTGATCAAGAACCTGTTGTTCTTAGTCCACTCGATGAAAATGACAGTTTAAAGTTAATGATGAGCAAGTTATTCCCTGCATATGGTTGGACTCTATCATTAGTTGTTCTTCTTATGCAGATTGCTAAAAAATGTAAGAGGACTACCTTTGACAATCGTCATTGTAGCTGGAGTTTTGGCAAACATGGAGACAAAAGGTTGGAAGAAGATTCTGAATGCTTTGAATTCAGGCATTGTATCAAGGGAGGAAGATCGTTGGAACACATTGGAGTTGAGTTACAGGTTTTTACCAGATAATTTAAAGCCGTGTCTTCGATATTTTGGGATATGTCAAGAAGATCAAGTGGTTTCAGCGAGGAGGTTGTTTTGTTTGTGGATAGCGGAGGGCTTAGTTAGAAAAGAAGAGATGAAGAGGGTATCTGATATTGCAGAAGAGCATTTAAATTATTTAATTAGCAGAAGCTTAATAATGGTTTCTAAACAAAGGTGGGGTGGTGGAGTGAAAGCATGCCGCATGCATGACCTTTTGTATGATTTTTGCTTACAAAAGGCAAAAGATGAGCAATTTCTCCATGTTATAAATGGGCATGGTGAGCTATTAGCATTTAATGAGCCTAGGAACTTGCGGAGGATATGCATTTTCTCAGAGGGAAAACATCTCAAAGAGGCATGTTTATTATGTCCTCTTGCACGTTCTGTACTTTTCAACAACAATGGAGGAATATCATACCAACAGTGGCTAGATATTTCATCTGTGACTCATAGCTTCAAACTTCTGAGAGTGTTGGATTTAGAGCAAATCAGTGCTGGTACGCAGTTTCCAAGTGAAATAGTACTCCTTGTTCATTTGGATTTCTTGGCACTTCCCCCTTTCATGACGCTCATCCCCCCATCGATAGATAAGCTGTTTAATTTGGAAGATTTTATTGTGAGCTCAATGAAAGGAGTTCCATTTCCAAGCAGTCTATGGAGTCTACAGAAACTGAAGTATCTTAAAGTTAGAAGATATGGGTTCCATTTGGCCTTAGAAAATCTTGATAGCTCATCTGTTTTATATGACCTGGATAGATTTTCTGGTGCAATTATTCCTGTTGAGGCCAATCTGGAAAGATTGATGAGAAAGTTTCCAAACATCCGCAAGTTTAAATACAGACTTCTCCAGGATGAGAATAAATTGTGTGGTATTGACAAGATTGTGTTTCCTGACTTCCTGAGTCAACTACATGCCTTCTTGTCTACACTACATTCCATCACTTGAAACGGTTGAGGCCATCGACTGTCCTGAGGCTGTAGTAACTTTGGTAAGACAGATTGAGAATGAACAGGTGGAAAACCGGGGAGATTCAAGTCTGAAGGTCATCATTCAATTTTCCTGGTTTTGGGAGAAATGAGAATACTGTGTTCATGATTTCACTACTGGTACTTTCTATAAATTAGTCATTCAGTGTGTTTTCAGTTCTTCACTGTAGAGGATCTTTTACTGACATTTTGTTTCATTGATCTTTTGCAGCTGAAGAGTATTTGATGAATTTATGAGAATTAGACCATTCTTTTGGGAGGATTTATGAAGATTCAAATGAAGAAGTTCAGGAATGCTATATAGCTCATGCCATTATTATTCAAATGCCATAAAAGTAGATTTGAAAGGCCTGGTTCTACAATTGGTAAGACCTAATTGTTCGTTTTTAACTTTCTACTGCAAAAAGAATCACATACATCACTTTTGGTTGTTACTTCTTATTGCACTCTGTCTTACCGAAATGCTCTCATTATAAGAATCTGAAAGTAATATATTTAAGAAAAATTTATATAGTCAAAAGAGTCAATCTTTGTTTTGAGATATTCAATCTGTTTTTTAAAATAAATTGTTTTGAGATATTAAATCTGTTTTCTAAAATCGATATAAGAATTAAGGGGGTTAAAAACAAAGATAAACCACTTAAATTAAACTGGATCAAGTCATATTTATTCTTCTACATTATTCACACTGTTTGTTCACATCAAGACACAAACTAAAGATTTATTCTCCAATTTAGGAGAATCGAATCTTGGGATAATTAAAGGCAGCGAGTTCTCCAAGAATCTAAAATAAAAACTAGAGACAAGAAAAAGTGAAGTTCAGACAAACTTATTGTTCAATATTCCTGCTGCATTTTATTGCTTTGATGAAAAGTTGAAAAAAGCTAGGCTAAATGCTAAAGTGATATTGAAATGAGTGACCATCTTTGACATTTTAGTCATCTTTGCTGCATTTTCTCATTGGCTTCTTTCTCCAAATAATTCTGATACTAGCTAGCTAGAAGACTCTTCAACCTCTTCACAACATATCTTCCAAAAATGATGAGGCAAAATCCAAGATCTTCAGTTGAAGAATCCAGAAATGGAATTGTTCGTAGAATGGTAAATCTTCCCAGAAATATTTTTGGAAATTTTTCCAGAGCAATGGGACAAGGAATGGACCTCATTTCAGGAAGAAGGCAGATGCTACCTACAATGCCACCAAATGTACCATTTCATCAAAATGACCAGCTAAACTTCCCTCATTTCCAGCAGAATTTTCAAGAGCCCTCAATGTTAAATCAAGAGGAATGGGCATTTCTAGCTAGTTTTGAGCAGCAGTTTGGCACAAATCATCCTTTTTTCTACGTCTGCCGGTTCATGGATGCTCTAAGAATGGCGCAGAATGAACAGAAATTCATCTTCTTGTACTTGCATTCCCCTGAGCACCCTTTCACACCTTCTTTCTGCAGGGAGACATTAGGATCAGATCTAGTTGTGCAGTTTCTTGATGCAAATTTCATCTGTTGGGGAGCGCTTGCGAACCGGGCTGAAGGGATTCATCTGGCTTCAACATTAAGGGCCTCCACCTTTCCATTCTGTGCAATAGTAGCTCCAGCTTCTGGAGATAACTTCGCAGTTCTACAACAGGTTAGACATGATCAACTGACTGAGTAACTTTGTTCTGTTTTCATCATCTTACCTGCTTGAAGTTGTTCATCCTCCAAATCCCTCCTTTTGCTGATAAGTTGTAACATATCTGGAGTTTTATGTGTCTTTTCCCACATTTTATAATCAAATTCTTGAAGAAATATAACTACTCAAGTAGCAGACTTTGTTGATGAACTAACTTGTTAGTTTCCACAAATTTCAAGAAATATATAGATGGCAAGTTTATCCCTCAATAGGCACATTAATGAATCAGTAATTTGCAGATTTGGGATTAGAAGTAATGATTTTGTCAATCTGCAAAAGTTTGTTTGAGGAAACCAACTAAAGCAGCCCATGAAATATTTCTCCACATCAAAATCTTGCAGATTGAAGGGCCAGTGTCCCCTGCTGAATTAGTGGAGATACTACAAAGGACCATGGAAGAACAAGGATTGGCATTTGGCAGCAGAAGCAGGGCCATGGAGGAAGAAAAACGGAGAGCGGATCGCCGGTTGAGAGAAGAACAAGATGTTGCCTACATTTCATCCCTCCAGAGAGATCAGGTCCAGTTTAAGCATTTACTTTTTTTCAATCATGAATTCCAGTTTGAAAGGGCAACATATTCATTGGTTTTTTGCTACAAAAGTTTTGGAAAATAGAACTGATGTTGGTTACAGAATTAGTCCAACTATATTGATCAAGCTTATTCTTTGGTACACACGATTGTTTTGCAGGAGAAAGAAAAACTCAAGAATTTAGCTACAAAACAAAGAGGTCCTGAGATTGCTGGTCCTTCCAATTCGTCTAACAAAGAGAAAATCAAACGAGATCCCGGAAACCAGCGAAACAGCAAACTCAAGGCAAACCCGAAAACCGGAGAAGCTCCTCGTAAAGATAATCCCATCGGTAAAGGAATAGCTCAAGAAACCAAGGTATTAATAAGAACAAAGTACTGCAGTAGATCGTCGACAAATTAATAATTTATAAATTAATAATTTATAGCAATCAATAATTTTGTCCGGTCTCAACTTGGGACCAGTACAAACAATGAAAAAAAAAATTAAAAATTTGATAAGATAATAACATTTCAGAGTCCCAACATTACCATAAATTAATAAATATCCTAGAAGAAAAAAAAAATAATAATAACAATAAATATTTAGTAAAATATGAACTATAGTATTTTTTATTTCGGAGAATGATATATACTATGTATCGATGTTTAGTTAGTATTCCAAAGAGTTTAAACACTCAATTCATTTCAATGTAAAGACAACTAGATGGTACCCGCACGATGTGCGAGATAGATAAATTATGTATAAAATCAAACATAATAAAAATCAAAGAAATATTTTATATTTTCGTAAATTGATATATAATATAAAAACACTAAGTTAAATAATGTTACATTAGAAGTAATTTTTATGCACTAATTATTTACATAAGAAAATAAATAGATTCATATATCGATCTACGTGTTAAATATATTTTATTTTCGTGAATCATCAATATATATTTCGTCATGTTGTCCCTAAGACATCAAACATTGAAATCATTAATTAAGATTGGCAAAGAAACTCACCGTGATGTGCATTCGAAAATCCTTGCTATAGAAAATATTTGCCCATAATTTCTAAAAGTTAGAGGCAAAAAACTTTTGACACAAAAAAATAATGATTATTAAAAAAAACATAAATCCTAAAAAAAAAAGAGAGAAGAAAAAGAAGAAAAGATTCCAGTATAAATTGGGATTGCAACCTAGTTGAGTTTTATAAGCACACTTTATATATACATAATAATTTTATTCACATGATTAATGCGATTGGAGTGAGTATAGGCATATGTTTATATTTGATTTTTTTAAAATAAAGTAAATGGATATTCATGTATACAATTATGATAGATGATATATCTCTAACAAATATTATCTACAATTTTTTTAATTATTTCAAATTTCAAAATAATATTAACATTGTTTAATGATCAACCAATATGTAATGGTATTATTCAATCCAGTGGAAAAATATTTTCAAATCAATCAATTTTAATGTTGAATTAAAGAATCATTGATGATTTTGTATTTATTATTTTTGAATTTTAAAAAAACATTAATACTGTTTAATGATCAAACCAATATTAATGGCATTTTCAAGCCAATCAGAAAATATTTTCAAATCAATTAGCTTTAATGTTGAATTAAAGAATCATTGATGATTTTTTATTTATTATTTTTGAATTTTAAATAATCATTAATATTGTTTAATGATTAAATCAAGACGTAATATTATTATTCAAGCCAATCGGGTAATCTTTTTCAAATCAATCTTATTTAATGTTGAGATTTTAAAATTTTCCGTTTTTTTTTTCCATTTTAGGGAATGTAAAATAGAAAGTTTACACTCAATTAATTGATATACTTTAATTAAGAATTGATAACAATTTATTAACTGGAAATTTAAAGGACTGTTAGTGTAATTATTGTAAATATTTTTTGTAACAACCTATAAGGAAATGACACATAGAATTTTGTCCTATGTGTCAACGGGGGGAGAAGTTTGATTTCCTCTCTCTGGTTTCTCTCTTAGTATAATACTATAGATTACAATTTAAGTAATTTAGTGAAAGTTTTTTTTCCTCATAGAAATTCTTTAAATTAATAATTTATTAATTTATTAATTATTTAATAATTCTCTAAATTAATAAATTTGGTGGTCCCAACACTATTAATTTATAGAAGTTCAACTGTAATAATAACGACAATGATTTTTTTATAGTGACTGACGTGTTATTCATTTATTGGCTAACATATATATAATAGTAGTTATATTAATCACACTAAGAAAGAAAAAATCACCCATCGGTCCCTTATGAAAGTTCACGTGATTTTGGAACTCATTTCATCATTATGCTGTGATATATCTTCAAAGGGTGATTATTGTACAATTTTATTATGCAGATTTTGATTAGGTTTCCAAATGGCGAGAGGAGGGAACAGAGTTTCTCGAGCACAGATAAAGTGCAAACAATTTTTAGGTACATCAATTCGTTAGGAATGCAAGGAATTGGAGGCAATTTCAGACTCATTTCTAACTTCCCAAGGAAGGTTTATAGTGTTGATCAAATGGGAATCACACTTGCAGATGCTGGCCTTCATCCTAAAGCTAGTCTCTTCTTAGAGCTTCTTTGATTTGTAATTTTCCGAAGTCTTTACGAATAAGTAGTTAAGAACTCTTCCAATCTACACTTTTGGTAGTTTAGAACTCTTCCGATCTACACTTTTGGCATGGGGAGAATAAGAACTCCTGTCGTTTATATGTCGGATGGCTATAATCTATTTCCTATCAGAATTCTCTATTATATTTTTCTATATAAATCGTTATATAGTGAGGGTCACCGCTTGTTAAAAAAAATAAATAAATTTTCCCAAGTTTTGTAAAGAAAAAATAATATTTATTCAATTTTGTTTTATTCTTTTAATTAAAAAAAAATAGCAAGCCAACCTAGGGCTTAGGTGTTAAGGTCACTGCATTTATTCCCAAAAGTTCAATGAAGATTTGAATGTTTTGAACACAATTTGATCTAAATTGCTCAACCTATTTTCGTGCTGGAATGGGTATTAATCGAAAGTGTATAATTTAAGCCTGCTCTTGGCTAAAAAATACGACAGCCCAGAAACGGCACAGAAGAGCTTATGGCAAAGATGCAAAACGAAGAAACAATTTTGAATTCGACCAGTTACTCCAATGGATAAGCTAATAATTCAGTCTCTCACGGGGATTGGTTTACAGTGGGTTTACAAGAAAGTAAGTCGGCTCGTCAAATAGAGTGGGAATTCTCACAGATTACTGAAACTTGCTTCCAAACTATAATAAATTTCTCAAGATACTTCCATTTTGCTATTCACTAGACCTGGTAGCAACTGAAAGACAGTTATCAACGACTCTAAGTTTATAGTTAACAACTTTTCTCCATCAAGGACGTCGCTTCTGATCTTCGTCTTCATCATCGTCAGAATCGCCACTCTCACGAAATCGAGGATTTTTCTCCTGCAGCAGAATAAAACAAGCAAAATAAGCTATAAAATATAAGATATCATGGCCAAAGGAAATCATATGCAACCCTTTTTACAGTCACAGAGCTAGATATCAAGTGCCGAAAAAACATCAACATCCAGGTCTATCACAACTAAATGCACTATGACACTGAAGACTTGAATGATTAATCAGCCGGTAACATAGAGCTTCTGTAATGATGGCTAACCTTATACTTCGGTCATATCTTGTTTCAATTGTTTCAGTTCATGAAAGATTGGCAAACACAACAGCAGTAAAAGCAAAAGGAAACTATGAAATTAAATCAACATCCTATAGATACTATGATAAGCTCACTTTAGAGATTCAGTTCAAACTGAATCTTTGGAAGTCAGTAGTAGCCACTATGACTGAGAAGAGTAAATTTTGAAGTTAGAGAGCAATTGATGCATGATAGGTGCCCATTCTCAAATTTCTGCTCCATTAGAAGCTCGATCAGAAAACTAGTTGATTTCTCCGAGCAGTGAAAACTATTTTGTTGGTAAGTTGTTGCAATTTCCAAAAATCAACTCACAAGTCAACCCAAAAAAAAAAAAAAAAACTCGAAAAGCAAGATGAAAAGAATTACCGGTCTAGAGTCATGATCAGAGCTTCTCCTTGTATCATTTCCAAACTTTCTCTTCGGGTAATCAGATCGCTGGCGATCATCATCACGATAACGCTTACGATGATTATCTGCAATGCAAAAAAGCAGGAAAATATTGCCAAAAATTATACCTCTACCATGCCGATAACTCTATTTACATGTAATGAACATCTGACTAATCTACATTAGCCTGAAGCAAGAAAATATTGCCAAAAATTATACCTCTACCATGCCGATAAGAGCCGCCGAAACCATGGTTTCCGCCATGCCTACCATCTGCAGAAAAAAAGGACTAGCACTAATCAGTACATAAAAGAGTATGCAATAGCATATGGACAGACCAACCAACAGATTTATGGGTTAAGATTTTCAGTTGAGTACTTTCCATAGTTGGAAATCCGAAGCCAAAAAGTGTATAGTTGATGAAAGCAGGTAAACAACAAAGTCGCACTCTAATTTCCCGGAGGAAATGGGAATCAGTTTAGGTTAATTATATTTAATCAAAACAAAAGTGTGTGTCATCTGAATATCAAGTTATAGCATCCAAAGAATGACTTATGGAGCAATAAGCTCTCAACTAATTGCAATTCCCAAGATAACCCACATTCGAATGGGTTATGAAAAATATCAACTGTACTAAACAGCTGGAAAATTTTCTCATCAAATTAACTTGCATTACTTAAATTGCAACAGAATAATTAATGCTTATGTTATAAACATATCATAACGGTTGCATGATTTAGAAACAGAGTAGGTACAGAAAACCAGGGGTGGTTAACAGAATTAAATCTGCCCAACTTACATTGAGGCGGCATGACAGGTGGAAAAGAGCCTAATGATCCTGTATCATAATCCACCAGCTGTCTTTGTGCTTCCAGTTCTCTCTGAACTAATTTCCCATAGCCACCTCTACGTTTTATTAGTTAGGGAATCAAAATACAAATGAAGACAACCATAAGCAAAGAAGCATTGTCTTTTAATCATAACAATAAATGTATAGGACATTTTTAATTCACTAAATTTCACAAGAAGCATAAACTCAAAGCAAGTTCATTCAAAGAAAGAAAAAACTTCCCTTGCAGTCTAGGGTGATGAGGAAACTAATAAACCAGTTAAAAAGACAATGATAACTCTTTTATTACTTATATAAATTAGTGAAAAAGGAAAAGGTTTGAGACCATTGACTACTAAGGTACGAGACCATTGACTAAGTTGACCATTCATTCATTACTTTTATTACTTTTACTAAGTTACCAATCAGAGGAATCACCAGGAGATATTAAAAAAAAAAAAAAAAAAACGGAAGAGAAACGAATTTAACATGCTATAGCTCAGTAGCAAACTATCTTTGCATCTATTTTCAGATAATGCAAGAAGAGCAGTAATGAAAGAATAATGAGATCACTTGATCACAGGAAAGAATTCTAAATCAAGTAACTATATTTGTTACACACAATCAGCCTCAAAACAATCATTCTTCTAAAAAGAGGAGATAAGCATCCTACTTGCTTCTTCATTATGAGTGTAACTACACAATCTAAACTCCTGAACCAAGAGACAGATTAAAATGAAAGGGACACATGAAAAAACAAAAATAACAAAAAAATAAATGATGAAACAACACAAGCCTGACAATATTATCTTTATGAGAAAGTTTGAAAAAGGCAGTGATCACTTTAAACCCTTTTGAAAAGGAACACTACTCCTATTCTTGTTTAAAACAATCTGCACGCAAAATAAGACATTGAAAGAATTCTGTTACACTAGATCAAAGAGATTCAAGATGGAAGCAAGCATACAATTGAAATACATACAGCACTGTTACACTAGTAGTATTTTCAAAAAGAAAATATAAAAATGGAAAGGATATCTGGATCATAATCAGTACGATATTCATCTCGAACCTGAAAAACAAATCAAACATGTAGAAAGGCTCTAATCAAATGGAAAGTCATCCGGTAACTTAATGAGAAGAAAGAATAACAAAAGGTAGCATATTACTTGTCCACCACTTTTGCCACGACCCCATTGCCTTCCTTCCTGGAAACCCCAGTCAAAATCTACACGTATTGGGCGATCATCAAGAATGGTCCCACTTACATACTTAACCGAGTCTTCAGTATCTTCTCTAGAGTAGAACCTGATAAAGCAAGGTTTCAGAAATTAAAAATATGTGGGCTATTTTTCATTTTTCTCTTTGTTTCCTATCATAATCAAACTTGTAGTGAGTAAGATACTGATCGGGAACTATGACAAGATCATACTTATTGTAATGCAGTCACTCAAAGGAAAACAGATTCCAAACCAACTTTGGAGGTAACAGTGGAATCACCAAATCCAAAAATCACTGGTAAGTGAACACTACATGTGCATAAAACATCACGCATAAAATCTGTATCCACTCAATTTATGCTATTTTTGTTAAAGCTCAAAATCACTAAATTACTAATACATATATTACTTGTACTTGAGTATGGACAGAAGAGAATGGTACAATGGGTTCCCTACATAAGAGGAATCAGTGAACTTTTATTTCCTAAACCATAAGTAAGAGATAGTAACCAATTCACAGAATAAATAATGATAAAGAACAAAATAAGTCATTCCAAGTTGAGGGCCATACATAATTTGGTTTTCTAATATCTTCTACTTCCACAGAGCATGCAACAGCAAGATCTTTCTTCAAAAACCATTAAACAAGGAAAGTCAAACATGAACAGCAACAAAAAGAGGACCACTTTACAGAGGGCAAAACAGTGTTCTGTGATCAGAAGTAAAGCGGAATGGTTTACAAATTAATTTGGCAACCTAGCCCGTCTCATAGCTTGAACCTCATGTTCATCTCAAAGAGTTTCAATTTTACAAACATTTCTTTCACATGATGCCATATCAATAAACAGGCCTCTAGCCAGACCTTAGCTTCCTTGCCGTATGTTTATCTTACATCCTTCTATTCGGAGCATTGAAGAAAGGAAGGCAAAATAGCGGAAAGTCTAGTGAAATTAGTCATGCTGAGTCCAGGTGCAGCCCCACCAGGTGTCAGAAATCAAAGGTTTTAAACTCATGCACTCAACGACAGCAATTTCAGTTGAGAATAAGTTGCAAATTGGTATTTTTTAATTAATCACCAACAACATATCATGGATGACAAAAAAAAACATGAACTTTAAACATTGCCATCAACAGAGAACTAAAAACCACCAGCTCTTGTTCACCAAAAAAAGAATGAGAAAGAGGCGAGGGTGGGGGATCTTACATGACAAAGCAGAACCCACAAGGAGTTTTGGTGTTTTTATCCAAACCCATGACTATCCTCTTAATCTCTCCAGCCCTAGAGAATAACTCATAAACCTGCTCTTCTGTCGTGTAAAAAGACATGTTCCCAACATACACTGTGGTTGATTTCAACAATGCTTGTTCAAATTCCTCCTGTGACCCCTGAAACCTTCTGTCTCTATACTGTGAAAGCTTGCTCAGATCCTGATACAGGAAAAAAAACAAAAACCAAAAAAAGATCATCTTTAAACCTAATTTCTGTGCATAACCCTACATATTTGCGATTACACCAACGAACTGACTCATATACCGCGCTGTTTTTTCAGCAAAGTTAATATTTGCGATTCCAACAACAAATTGAGCGGGATACAGAAATTGAATGAAAGAATGCCAAAAGTTACACTGAATTAGAAGCAAAGCAAAACAAACTCCAGGAAAAAAGCATTTCAGCTGAAATTAATTCAACTACGCCCAAAACTCCAATACAGACACAAGCAAAAACGAGTAATAAGCCGGAAATTACCTTGAAGAGAGACGCCATTGGTGGCCGTGCTCCGCCAAACCAGCAAGTTCTCTCAATTCACAGAGACAACGAGGAGGGAAAGAACTCGGATTTTCTTTAAAACAAATCGATAATAAATTGGAAAACTGAAATAGGACTAAACGGAAAAAGGAAAAGGAAAATTTTATTTTCTAGGAATTGAAATTTGGACCCTTTTTCTTTTTTACTTTTTTTAAAATAAATTTGGAGCCCACGTAGTTCTCTATTTGAAGTCCCGCTCGAAAAAAAATGGATCAAGGTAGAGATATTTGGGCTTAGACTTTCAATAATAATTTTTCCGGACCAATTAAGGGCCCAACAGTATATTAACACTAGCGAGATCGGACTACGATGTCCTCCACGATCTTAGGGGTTCTTTGGGATATTGGCTTTAGACATGCACAGCTAGAACTAGATTCTCTGAAGGCTGTTGAGTTTTTTCACAAATGTATCGTGGATTGGTTGGTTTCGTTTATGCATACCAAACCTAAGAATATTGTAGTTGTGGATGAACTAATGAATTCTAATCAATATTATCTTCAAGTTCTCTACATATTTTGTCAACGGCTCCTTCTATATGAGAGTCTAATAGACAATATTTCTGTGTCACAGTCTCTTAAGGGTATTTTGTGAACTAAGACACTAGCTTCTTTCGTATGGAAAACAAAAATTACAACAAAAACACGCATGTGTTACTATGTCTTTCTTAACTCATTTTTTACTATGAATTATTTTTTATATTACCTATTTTTCTTGAGATTTTATTTCACAATCAACAAATAATTGAGTACGTAGTGTTTTGTTCATGACTAATAATCATCTTAATAGTACATTTTAATAATTTTTGTTCAATGCTCGTGATAGTATTAGTATACCAATGAAGGTTGTGATTTAATTTGAAATATTACATGGCGGTTTTTATTAATTAACCCAACAATAATATGTCGCTAAATTAATAATTTATAAATAATAACTTGAGTATTAAAAGAAAAAATTTATTTCTCTCTCCACGCACTAGGGCCAAATACACTGTGGTCAATACCATGCTTTTGGACATGAAACATCTACTTATAGGAAGTCTGGAGTGAAGGTTTGGAAATAGAAGATCAGCAAAACAGGAGCAGAACCACAATCACTAGTAAAGGAGATAAATGTAGATTAATAGAAGAATATAGAGACAGAGAAGGGAAAGACTAACAGAAAGAGGTGAATATAATACAAAAAATTTAGAAAAGAAGCAATGGGAAAATGTGAACTACAGAAAGCAGAGAAATTACAGATGGCCATGAATGTAGGAAAGTAAAGGAGGGAGAAGGGAGACATTGCAGATAAAGGCTACTCAGACTAAATTACTTGGACTAGTAACCCTACTGGGTCTAGTAACCATGGATAAAGTCCTAGTATGGAATGTAAATGGACTCAACAGTCCCCTGAAGCTAAAGGGGTAAGAATTATATGTCTTTGAATAATATTGGTCTTGCAGAGTTATTGGAGACAAAAATTATCAGGAGAAAAAGTGTATGACTCAATGGAGAAAAGTTGGACCAACTATCAATATGTAGTAATCACACAGGTAAAGATTGAGGGAGGATTTTACTGATGTGGTATAAAGACGAATACCATATAAGTAATATTAGAATCCATAAAAAGTACATTCATGGACCAGTACAGAAGGTGGGCAGCTCAAAACAGTTTGAGATAATAGTGGTGTATGGTGAATATATTCATCAAGAAAGAATTAAGTTATGAGAGAGCCCATTAAAACTCTCTAAATAGACTACGGAGGCATGAGTTGTGATAGGAGACTTTCACAGTATAATGAGATTAGAGGAAAAGGTTCGAGGTGCGAATAGTTTAAGCCAGGACACTAATATGTTTATGCTGGTGGTGGATCAATGTGATTTAACAGAAATGAAAACGCAAGGAAATATGCTTACATGGCACAACAAGCAAGTGGGGGAGAATAGAGTCTCTTCAAGGTTGGCCAGGGCTTTAACCAATGAAAAATAGTTAGACCAGTTCTTAGAAGCTACGGTGATTGTCCTAAATCCGAGCATCTCTGATCACTGCCCCTATTTACAAAATAAAACAATGAAAAGCAAGAGAGAGTTGCTTTCAGGTTCTTTAATATGTGGGTTCACAATAAGAAGTATAAGGAGGTGGTATAGGCTACATGGAAGGTAGAGATTAGAGTAGGTAAACAATACTAGCCGGTTCAAAAGCAGCAATTACTGAAGAGAGGACTGAAATAACTTAACTGAGGAAACTATAATGATATAGAACAGAGAGCACAAATGTGTAAAAAAGAGCTGGATAAAATACAAAATCATCTACCGACTGACCCTTTGAATTATGTTTTGCAGGAATAGGAGAAAGTAGCAACCAATGAATATAAGGAAACTACCAAAGCAGTGATGAGCTTCTGGAGACAAAAGCTCAAAGTTCATTGTTCCAGGAGGGAGATATGAATAGCAGGTACGTACTTTCATTCTACTCTAAACCTACAGAGAAAAAGGAACAATATTTTATCTTTTATTAACCGAAATGGTGTACTAATTGAGAACTGTGAATTAGTGAAGAAACAGATTATTATATCGCATTGCTGCAGGGGTGGTACTACATACTACTCAGGTGGGGCAATTGCCCCAGCTGGAATTTTTTCCTCCCTTCTTACCCCTTCAAAATATAGATTTTTTAAAAACAATATCCCACTTTGCCCCATCTAAATTGAAACTATTAAGGGGCATGTAAGTTATACTTTGCCCTATCATATTTATGGGGCTTGGCTCCGCCCCTGAGTTGCTGAGAATTGTGGTAGATAGAATTCCAACTGATTGGAAGTCTTTGAATCAGAGACTAAACTGACTGTATATTAGCAGATTCTCCTGATTCAAAACTTCTCAGCAGCTGAGATTAAGCAAGCTATGTTTAGTATAGATGTCCAAAAAGTCCAGGTCCTGATGGATACAATAGTGGTATCTACAGATATACATGGGAAGTAGTTGGGAAAGATGTATAAGCAGTTGTCTAGGAATTCTTTCAAATAGGGAAATTGCTGAAACAACGAAATTTTACTTGTTATCATTAGTTCCGAAAACTGTTGTTCCTATAGATGTCATAGAATTTAGGCCAATAGCTTGTTGCAACACAGTCTATAAATGTATTTCTAAACTTTTAAACATGAGATTAAGATATTACCTGATATAGTGGAGTTAAACCATGGAACTTTTGTTAAGGGTAGATCTATTTTCCACAATATTTTACTTACGCAGGAGCTAGTTAGACTGTATCAAATGAAAACAACGAAATCTTATGTTTGATTAAAGTGGACTTAAGGAAAGCTTATGATTACATTCCTTGGGAATTCATTGTTGAAATGCTAACTGTTATGAGATTTCCTCCTAAATTTGTTGGCTGGGTTAGGAAGAATATTACTACTTGCACATACTCTATTAATTTGAATGGGGTTAACACAATCCTTTTTTAGGGGAAAGGGGAGTTGAGACATGAGGGTCCTATGTCTCCCCTTATTTTTGTGTTGGTGATGGACTATTTAACTAGGATGTTTGATTTGGAAACTCAGAAAGGCGGTTTTAAGTTTCATCTCAATTGTGAAAAACTTAAAATCATTAACATGAGTTTTGTATATGACTTCATTATATTGTGTCAAGCTGATTCTGCTACCATTCAAAGGATTAAAGTAGAGTTGGATATATATTCTGCAAATACGAGGTTATTTGTGAATGTTAGGAAGTCTAACATATATTTTGGAGTCAACTCTGATTTTCAGGAGAAAATTCAGCCGATTTGGACTATGAGGTTGGGCAATTTCTTATTAGATATTTAGGAGGTCTCATATCTCTCCAATAACTTGGTCAGAAATGGATTGTCAGTCATTAGTTGAGAAAATCACTACTGGAATTAAGAGTTGGGATACGAGACACTCATCATATGCTGGTAGATTAGTACTATTTAACTTTATCATGTTAAGCATCCACTCTTATTGGGCTGACATCTTCTTAATTTCTCCAAAGGTAATTAAACAGATAGAAAGAGTGTGTAGAGTGTTTCTTTGGGGAAAAAAATGAAACATGCAAAATTTGATCCCTGGTAGCTTCGAATGATGTGTGTAAGAACAAGGATGCGGGAGGATTGCATATAAAAGATCCCAGTGTGTGAAACAGGACCCTACTTGGGAAATAGTTGTGGGATGTGTATAACAACAAGGAGAGCTTATAGAACAAGCGGGTCCACAATTATTACTTATAAGGGGAAGAGCTTATGAAAATACCAGCATCTAAATAATTGCAGTTGGCACTGAAAAAATCTTATGCATGTTAAGAATTAATTGAGACATGTATCCAGAATGATGTTTGGCTTGATAACTTCAAAGAAGAAGTACACAACTGAGGGGCTTTTTCCCAAAAAAAAATAATTAAAATAAATGTGAACAAATTTAAAATTTTTAGAATATTTGTGGACAGAATTATATTCTTCGGATTTCTGAAATCTGAGTTCTGATTAAAATTAAAGATTCAGATTTTGGAAATCCGAATCTATATTTAATAATAAAATAATAATTTAAATAAATTTTGTTGAATAATAGTTTTTTACAAATTCTTAAATGAACAGTGCCGGTCGGATTTGCGAAATCCGAATTTAATTAAAAAATAATAAATTGAGGCGCGAAAAAATTGAACTCAAATAAGGAGTCCAAGACCTGGACTCCTTAAATGAACAGTAGTACTCGGATTTTCAAAATCTGAGTGTACAAAAAGAAAAAAGAAAAAAAGAAAATCGCGGCGCGAAATTTTTGAATCCAAAAACCGGAAGTCCGTAATCCGGTTTTATGAATTCGGATTTTGGAAATCCGACTGCCTTTAATTTTGGTTGGTGAAAGTAGGCACGTGCCATAAATTGGAAGACCAAAAAATGAATAAAATAATCCAGAATTGACCAAATCCGGATTCATGAAATCCGAAACTAATGTAATTCGGATTTCAAAAATTTGAGTTACTTACGGACTCGGATTTCATAAATCCGAGTTTAACGTGCAATAAAAGAAAAAAAAAATTAGACAAATCTCATTCAAGAACTAAGTTGGATTTTCTGTTTTTGCAGCTCAAACAAGGGCGAATTGGAGCTTTTGATGCATTCTTGCCTCTAGATACGTGGGAATCGTTATTTGAAAGAGGTTAGATTGCAAAACCATGTTATTTAGTTTAGTTTTATGTTATTTTGATTGTTAGAATGATGTATGATAGATTAGGGTTTATGTTGGTTGGTTGTTTGGATGTTTTAGGTGTTGATTTTGAGGTTAGAGATGAGAAATCATAGTTGTTCATGAGACATCGAAGTTGATTTATAAGTATTTTAGTATTTTATAGGTTTTTTGAATTATGAATGGAGTATGTATGGTGTATTTGTTGATTTTGTTATTAAGAAATGATTAGTTATTGATGTTTTTTTTAACAGTTATCAATGGCACGTAATGTATCATACATGCTTAATTTGTATCATACAAGTAAGTATGTGATAGAGAACGGTAGCATCAACACTTTTTCGAATATGCCGGATGATAGTTTGTTTGTTGAAGAAAGGTTGTCATATGAGGGATTGATTAGTAAGATTTGTATGACACTTGGTTGGGATCCAGCACACGTGAAACTCCACCTTTCTTTGATTTTTGATAGTCTCGGTGGTAGGTGTGTAGTGAAGATCAAGAATGATTCGCATGTAGAGTTCATGAACCGTGTAGATCCAATGTCATGTTCGGATTTATACATAGATTTGGAAGATATCACTCAAGAAGAAAGAGAAGCGAGTTTGGAAAACGTGTCATTTGGTGGTTTTCCAAGGGGGGAACGTGCTAGTACTTCTCGAAACCGTGATGAAGAGGAGACACCTTTATTTGCACAAGATGACTACCGGGAAGAGTCAGATTCCGACTATATAGCTCGAAGTGAAAGCAAAGAAGACTGTGATATCTCCGGAGAGAGTGATTTTGAAGAAAGTGTTGATGAAAGGTTGGAAAATGAGGAAAGGGATTGTAATCCATTGCCCCGACGCCATGTATATAGTCAAATTGGGAAATGGGATGCCTCATATGTGGACAACGATGAGTTTGCTCTTAAGATGTGGGATGAGACGCCTGAAGGAATGGACATTGGTGTTTGTTTCAAATCTCAATCAGAAGCAAAGCATGCTGTGAAATTATGAAACATCCATCATAAAAGGGAATATACGGTCGCCGCGAGTAGTCCAAGGACGTGGGCTGTGCGGTGCAGAATATTTAATGTGGAAAGTGAGGATGGTGAACCACCATGTGAGTGGAAGATGCATGTGTCTTTGAAAGCTCGCGGCCTTCATGAAATTGTGAGATGGCATGATGCACATAATTGCATGACTCCCGTGAATGATAATGACAATCGGTGTGTGGACGCGTCTTTGATTGCTAGACTCATCCGGAGAAAGGTTGAGGACAACGTGGATTATACGGTAGCCTCGGCACAGAAAGATGTGAAGGCCTTATTGAAAGTAGATGTGCCATACAAAAGGGCGTGGCACGGGAGGAGGAAAGCCATAGAAGCGGTCTATTGTGATTGGACCTCGAATTTCGAAGAACTTCCACGGTAAATATCAAGGTTTATTTGTGTATTGAAATATTTTTAGTGTTTTTTTTTTTTACATGTATTGAAATATTTTAACAATGACTTGTTGTTGTGTAGGTATATCGCTGCACTTAAGTTTACTAATCCTGAGAATGTAGTAGAGTGGGAATGGAAGGAGGGACAAGAAGGTTGGAACAGGGGAAATAGGACATTTAAATACGTCTTCTGGTCATTTACACCCGTGGCTGAGATGTTTTTTGAATGTCCACCAGTCATTTGTATCGATGGAACCTTTTTGCGTGGTGGATACAAGGGTAAATTGCTTGTTGCGGTGGTCTATACCGCAAAGAAGTACATTTTACCGGTTGCATTTGCGATTGTGGATGAGGAGACAGTAGAGAGTTGGACATTTTTTATGAGGAATTTGAGGTTGTGGGTTGTGTATGATAGAATCGTAAGTGTGATATCAGACCGGAATGCAGGGTTGTTGAGCGCAATGTCACAGATGGATGAATGGCGTGATTTAGGTGATGGTGGCCACTTTCTTTGCCTCCGCCACGTTTGCAGTAATCTTGTGTCGCGATATAATAGCAAAAAAGTGAAGCGGTTATGTTGGAAGATGGGCACAACGCTTTCAAGAGTGAAATACAACCGTTTGAGGGCAGAGCTTATTGAATTCAAACCTGCTGCATGGGAGTATCTTCGAGGGATTGGAGGGAGTAACTGGGCTCGATTGAAAGCCGGTCTTCGCCGTTGGAGCATAGCGACAACCAACATTTCTGAGAGTTACAACAATGCGTTGAAAGGGGTCCGTTTTTTACCAATTAGAGCCTTGATCGATGCAACCTTTCGCAAAACTGTTAAATTCTACAGAGAAGAACAATTGTCTGCAAGAAATTGCATGACACCGATCCCTCCTGATTTATGGAAAAAATACGAGAAAATGAACAACAAAGCAGCCAGTTTTGAAGCCACCCCTTTTGATGGTAATGATGCTATGTGGCGTGTTGTTACTGCAACACAGCTAAGTGGCAGGGATGGGTCTTTGCATACGGTGAACTACGATGAACATAGGTGTTCGTGCAGAAAGAGGTAAGAGTACCGGATGCCTTGTATGCACGCACTCCAAGTTTGTCGGAGATGAGGGGATCGGCCTATTGATCTATACCATAGTATGTGGCGCCTTCCAACGTGGCACAGACAATTTGATTACACGGGCTTTGTTCCGGTTCCCGATGATGAACAATAGCCGATGGTCAATTGGAACATCATTCCGAATTATGAGCGTCTTGTGTTGCATGCGGGACCGGGACGAAGATAAAAAAAAGAGACATAGAATGTAAATGGATTACAGGGGGACGCCGGAGCTGGGGGGAATGTTGGAGATGTGGACAACTAGGTCATGATGCCAATTCTTGTCCGTTCTCGCACCCAAGAGTAGATAGAAGACCTGTGAATAACAGCTGGAATTGAGAGTCATTTAGTGTTTGATAAATTTATGTGAATATTGATAAATTCGGATTGTAATGTGAACATTGAATTGTTCGGATTGTAAAGTGTGATGAAATATGTAGTAGTTTTTCATAACAGGTTTTGGGATTGTACAAAATACTCAGCACATTTAAGGTCATGATATTGAATTGCCAATTCGGGATTTGTCGGTTAGTAGTGCGTCGGTTAGTTTGGTGATTTTGAAAAACAATGAGTTAGTTTATATTGGTGATAATATAGTCGGTTAGTTGTGTGATCAATTGATAAATGTAAATGCTGATTTAAACGTGCTTGTTAGTTTGGTGTTAGTTTGATATTGTATATTGGTGTAACTAGTGTGTTATATTAGTGTATATTGGTGTTAGTCGGTTTGATATTGTAACAACATTTTCAGGGTTTGAATACCATATTGCTTTTTTTTTTTTGTCGTCTTATATACTTGTCTTTTTTGTGTGTTAAACATTGTGTATTACTTTGGTTTGCGTTGAATTTGGCCAAATAATGAGTTAGGGTATTGATGTTTGTATTAGTTATCTTGTGTAGGATTGAAATGGCGACGCCGGCATCGGGCTCGCAATATGACTATCAACCTAAACATCTCCACCCGGGACCTATACAAGATAAAATGCTATATTGTCAAACAAAGCATAGGTCCCAAGCTGTCTATGAGAACAAGATACCAGACATTAAAACATTCCGCCTCAAGGGTCGTAGGTACGACAGCGATTTTTAGGGGATATACAAAAATACGGCACCGGAGGTTAAGTAAGTCATTAAGAGAGCCGATTTTGAGGGGATCATGAAAGTAGGATACAAAAGAGTAGATCTCGGCCTCATTACCGCGTTGGTGGAACGGTGGAGGCCAGAAACCCACACTTTCCATTTCAATTTCGGAGAGGCGACTGTGACGCTACAGGACATCGAGGTCTTGTTTGGTATTCGGGTGGATGGTGACCCGGTGAACGGGACGACAGCTAGCTGGACTACAGATGAATGGCGGGATCGATATGAGGCTTATTTGGGATTCCGGCCAGCCCAAGTAAATGGTCAATGTGTCAATGTTGGTATTTTCGAAGATGAGATGGCCCGCGCACTACCTAATATTCCACTGTCCATCGATTCGAGCAAAGGGCCAGGACACTTATACTGCATTTTATTAGCAGTTTCATGTTTCATAACAAGACGCAAAATACTGTCAATCTGCAGTTCTTGGCCCAGGTTGAGGATTTGGATCAGTGTAGTCGATACAGTAGGGGATCGGCACTGCTGGCTGGTTTGTAGTTTAGACTGTGCGAGGCATCACAGTACACCATGCACGACGCCACTAGGTGTCTATATTTGCTACAGGTACGTGTTAGTTATAATTTGAAGTTTTAACATTATTATTGCAATTTACTAGGTATGGGCGTATGAGCGGATCGAGAGGATCGCGCCACAAAGAAAAGGAGTAGATTATTTGATTGATGAGACCGCTCCATTAGCTCAACGGTACGTATTTTCAGTTCAAAATAACTCAATGTTTATTTCTATTTGTTTCTTATTCATTTTTTTCACTAATTCAAATGTACCCCTTTGTTCATTAAGGTGGGAATGTAGGTACACCTACGGCGACGCCCCAAGGAGCAGTACCCCACCTTTTAGAGATCAATTAACAAGCCTGCGTGTTGAAGATGTAAGTACTTGTAATTTGGTATTTATATTTACTTTGAGAACAATTACCCCTTTCTTTTCGTTCCGGTTGTACCATCTAATGAAATTCTTTTCGTGCAGTTTCGGTGGCAACCATGTGCACATGTCCTTCATAGACTCCCTGATTTCTGTACACAAGGCCAAGCCATTTGGACGACCAGGTGTTGGATGTTCTGTTGGGCTATTAGGGAACCCCATGAGTCGGGCAGAGTTGTAAGACAATTTGGATACATACAAGATGTTCCCAAGCGCCCTATGATTAAAGATAACGCAGCATTCCTTCTCGATCACGCCCACAGTATGTCTGGATATCCTAGCAATAATTGGTTGGACCACCATTCCACAGTACGCCGTCATTGGAATATGAGAGAAGAGTACGTGCTATGAGATTTGGAGGAAGGAGATCCTGGTTCCGTGTATGAGGGGTACTATGAATGTTTCATGGTGAACACTGTCAGACTGATATCTAATCCCGGTAATTATGAACCTCAAGGATACGAGACTTATTCGAGCCGCGTGAAATTATATGTGAGTTCATTCTATATTTCTTTTATTATTTCTTATGTTTTCATTTTATTTTTTTTTCATTTTTATTTTTTTAGAATTTTACTCTCTTAATTAACGTCCCAATTTCTTTTCAGGGTGAAGTATTGAACAACATTCGCGTGAGTATCAAGAAGTTTAGAGAAAAACGAGAAGATGAGAATCTCTTAGACGAAGAACTCGACAAGTATTTGGACGATATCATCAATCAAGCACATGTTGCTTTAACCTTGGGCGCAAATGATGAGATGGAGGTGGAGGATACCCAAATCCTGGTTGATGAAGATCCATCTTTGCCCTCACAATCTCCGCCGGGTAAAAAGGCGAAACCGTGGTCGAGAGATAAGATTGGAGGAGTAAGAAAGAGGAAGCTCACAATCCCCCCTCGGACATCGCAACAACAAACTGAGGGTCAACAAAATGAAGATCAAGCACATTCTTCTCGAGACTCGCGCATCCAGGTCGAGACTCATTTTGAAGATACTGGTGGACCCGAGACTCAGTTTGACCTTGATGGACCCGAGACTCAGTTTGGTGGACAGTCGCAACCACAACCGGGAGTCAAATTTCTTACCATGGGGAGTCCCAATCCCAACCCCAACTCAAGGCTCAGTTTGGTGGACAGTCGCAACCACAACAGAGTTCAATACTCACGTATCTTAAGAGGGGGGACAGGATCCGGCAGGGCCCAAACAAATACACTTCGGATGTGCACAATAAAGGAAAAGGGAAAAAAATGAGACATTTGATGTAATTTGCACATTTAAAGTAATTTTTGTATTGATTTTGGTATGAAACTTTATTTGTTTTGTTGTTAATCGAATGCTGTTTATTGTTTTCTTGTCATTAAATTTCTGTTTTCAATGTTTCATTGTTGTTGGTGCTGTAAACAGGTTTAGGACTGGTGAAACCAGTCCAATTTTTTTTTTCAGTTCTGACAAAGACTCGGATTTGCGAAATCCGAACTCAGACTTTTTTGTAAAGGATTCGGATTTCGGAAATCCGAGTCTGTAGCCAACCGAGAGTCCCTATTTTTCAGAAAACAGAGGAGATTCGGATTTCGGTAATCTGAATCTACGTATATTCGGATTACCGTGATCCGGTTTTTCCCAAATTTAATTTTTCAACACTTTTTTTTCTCTACCCGGAAATTAATATTTTATTCATAAATACGGATCTATAAAATCCGGATTTAGATTAATTACACTAATTTCTGTCATTAACTTAATATCGGATTTATGTAACACAAAGTCGGATTTTTATAATCTGAGTTTATTGGGGTTCGGATTTCTGAAATCCGAGTTTTACCCCATTCTGATTTCCTAAACGGGACATATAAGTTTGTCCACAAAATTTTTGAAAGATTTATTTTGTCCAGGTATATATAAGAAAATATATTTAAGGAAAAAATTCCAGAAGTGAGAGTGGTTATAGATGGATGAAAGGGAATACATCAAAAGACAGAAATTTGAAGCATGTATAGCCTGCCCAAACAGAGTTTCATCAGCTGGTTGGTATTTAAAAACCGATTATTGACCCAAGAAAAATTGTTGAAAATGGAAATATTACACGGGAATGTACAGTGTGAACTGTGTGAAATGCCAGAAGAAACAAGAGATCACTTTTTTTTTTTCCAATGCTCTAACTCTCAGGAACTATCAGAGTCCTGAAATGGTTGGGGACCAAAACAAAACAGTGTGAACAGACTGAAACAGAGAAGAAGATATTGCAAGATCCAGAAGAGACTAGTGTTTGCAGAGATAAATACAAGCATTTATTATTTTGGGCTGAGAGAAATCTCAAGAAGTTTGGAAAGCAGAAACAATAAACCTATGGCAGAGTTAGAAAGTATCATTAATGAAATCAGATGGAGGGCTCAGGTGTTTTGTAAAAGAGGAAGTAAACAAAATCTTAGATGGAAGAGAACTGGGAATTGTTCCAGCTAGTTTCCATGTAATAGCTAGGATGACAGTGTACAGGTTTTGTAAAGTTATATCATTTACCTTTTGATTAAAAAATAAAAAATAAAATTCAAGTTTTAATTTTCTTCTAGTATTTTTGAACAAAATCAATAAAATAATAATTTTTTAAAAAAATTCTCTATGCATATATTGGACAAATATAAGCTATTGATACTTATTTTAATCCCTGAAAATGATGAACTATGCATGAATTCAAGAGTTTCAAAATTGGGATGGTAAAGAAAATTGAAAATTGGATAATTTAGTAAGAATTCTTTTTTCCTTGTAATTAATACTTTTTTAAATTTATCAATCATTTAACAACTGTAAATAAATAAACTATTGTAGTTACAATATTACGCCGCATTAATTTCGTTGGTATATCATTGATCTAGTAGAAGAGAAAAACAAATTCAGTGCGAGATCATTATGACTACTTCAAACTGTAGGCTCATTTATGCATATAGCCTATGTTGATCGTAGAATGAACTTTTCCTTTCCGAGGATAAATATAATGGGTAATGGACGTTTGGTGAACCAGTTCGAAATGTCCAAAGAGGTAATATTATCCATTTCCATCACATCATACAAAAATAGGTCAATACATACACAAACCTAATTGAATCAAAAGGCTACCGAGAATTCAGCAACAATTTATACTCTGATACTCTCAGCCCATCCTTGATATCTTCACATATTTTTCCTCAAGGGATTTACTACAAAAGAGGCCCCATTCATCACAACTAAAAATGGCATACCTAGAACCATCAGCCCCTCGTTACCGCCTTCCTTTCAGAGATACCAAAAGCTGGAAACTCGGCACTTCACGGTACAACATCAGTGCAGTCAACATTGTCCTTGTAACACACAAGATACACCTACACGGAAAAGGAGCAGCGTCAGATTAAACAAGTCAACAAGAAGATAATAAAGCATGTCATAATTGAGAGCTATATAGACCAACTTTTAATCCACATCAGAGTAAACAAGTGACTAAGAAGATAACAAAGCATGTCATAATTGAAAGCTATATAGACCAACTTTTAATCCCTGCTTGCATCACAGTAACATACACAGTACACATTCCCAACTCGGTTGTGGTGTGAGGGGCCAAGATGTACGCAGCTTTACACCTGTAATCAGAGAGGCTGTTTAAGTAGTACGATCTAAGACGCATTGGTGCATTGTTGTATTGATTTCAGGAAACTTCACCAAAATTAGGAGGCGCCGGAATTTAAATGAGCCATTTTAATCTAACCCACTATTAGCACAAAGCTGAAAGAATTGTCAATGATGACTCTTCCTACTTGCCTTGCAAATGGAAATAATAGCTAGCATCACAATTACAATCCTTGGCAAGCTTTAGCACCTTGCAAGAATTATTATCTACGCAAACAAAATAAAATTGAGCTAAAACTTGTGACTCATGAAATGGCAATAATTCAAACAACACCCAATAAACTGGAGTTAATTATGACTCTCATTTCTATTGACCTTTACAAGGAAGAATGGGTAGTCAAAGCCAAACGGATATAGCAGATGTGCACAGGGATGCCAAATTTACAAGGTTTCATGCGACTTACACCCAACTACCTTTTCCTTGCCCAACAAATGTTTTAATGTATCACATGGCATCACATGGCTATGGATGCAAGTTAATTAAAAATTAACAGAATAAGCAGGCCCTTATGTAAAAGCACAAAAGAACTTATGATTATGTAAAAGCACAAAAGAACTTATGATTGCAGTACCTGAAATCTTGCCTAATCAGACCAATATCTGATATTTGGAAATCTACTTTCCGAGTGATATAGAGAACACAAAACTAATCCTCAAACCACATCTCCATCAGCCAGAACCAGCATCTACTCGAACACTGCTACTTTGTCGTCCATGAAAATTTCCCCTGCCTCGTTTTGACTGAATGTGGCCCCTGTCCTTATATTTAGGACCCACATTGAGGGATCCTTCAACTTTGTCGGGCTTGCTATTGTTCTGAGATCCTACAGGATGGTATTCATAATGAGTATTAGGCCTGTGCCTTTCATGACCCCAATCACCTTGATATTCCGGACTAGGGCCAAGATAATTGTTTTGGTTTCGACTCCTAATATCAGAAGATTGTTTATTTTTGCCATCTGCAGTTACAGCATTAGTCGATTCTTCAAAGCCTACTGCAACTTCAGTTGCAGGTCCCATAGATGTGGAGACTTTCTTTTCTTTTCTGTGACCCTGATGACCCGCATCTACAAACTCTGGCATCTTATTATCGTATGCATATTGATCTAGCTGAGAAACATCTTTTCCACTAAACTCTTTAATACGTGGAATAACATGAGACCTAGTCTGAGAAGAAAAACTCTTCTTAACGCCACTCATTCCACCTGCATCATCCCGAACAGAGAGAGACCTGCCACTCCTCTGGCTATTATTCGAGGATGGATGAGATTTGGGTTGCCACTGAGATGACCCACGTTCCTCAAAGCCATGATTATCCTTTGGTTGCCTTATATCAGAATCAGAAAATTGAGTATGATTTCTATCAGCTTCCCCAGTATTGACATGCTTCTCTGCTCCATAACTAGAACCCGAATTTTTTTCGGCTTTCAATGCATGCCGCTTCACTTTCCCAGTTGCTACCTGATCTCTCACAGACGACGTACCAACAGGTACTGCTGCTTCAGCTTCATTAAACACATTTTGATCACTACCTAAATCTCGGGACAACTTTTCTTCCCCTTTTTCTGAAACCACTTCAGGCATCATAGAGTGGCTTTGGCCTACTGATTTCCGAGCATTCTTCGATACATTGGAGGTGGAAGATGAAGACCCACTTGACGGTGCTTCGGCCGAACCTCGTTGTCGCCATGCTCCATGCCCCCTAGCTTGCTTATTAGTCTCCCTACCTTCTGTAGAAACATGATGAGAGCCTGAGCTACCAGCCTGCAGGCTTCCTGAGCTTCCCAATCTAGTTTCCACACCCTCGGCAGCCTCACCAGATGTTAATGGCTGTAGGATGCTACCCTGCTGAGCAAGTTCTTTTGCTACTGGCTTGGGGATATACCTCTCCATCTCCGCCCTTTTGCTTTTAGAACTGGTCAGCACTTGATGATCACTTTTAGACGAAGAGACAGATTGCTGCAGAGTTTCCTGACTTATCTCTTTCGCAAGTTCTGAGTTATTCTGCGACCTCACAGGTGCCCACATAACATTGTCATTGGAATGAAATTTGTCTACTGGTCTGCCAGATAGCTGGTTTCTTGCAAGACGACGGGAATGCTGAGGTTTTCTGTGGTTATTTACTCTACCATGGCTATCTTCAGCATGAGAAGAAGAATGTTGCTTGGCTGAATCTGCTCCACTACTACCAGCAACCACTCCCTGAGCTAAACCAAAGCCCTGACCTGACTGATCATCATTGAAGTTCTCATTTTCAGCACAACCTTCAACAGGACATGAATCAGCCACTGCTACTAATGGCGGAACAGAAACAGGAATTGCTTCATCTGGCTTGAGCTTTCTAATACTTTTATAGCTTTTCTTTTTCTGCTGCGAAGGAGATTCAACAACTAGGGTAGCGTTTCTCTGCAAGTTAGACTCCTCAATAAGCAGAATGTCAACTGTAGCAACCGATTTCACTTCACTAGACTTATCTTTTGCGGCATCAGAAGTGGAGATCACCTGAGAATGTTCCCCCATGTTTTTTGGTTGTTGAACATTATGCTTTGGCTTGGAGCTATTCCGCTTCTGCCTCGACACACTGCCGTCATGTGGTTTAGGAGAAGTTCTAAAACGACTAGCATCAGCATCATTAGCTTCCTCTGTTACAGCCAATGACTGACCACCCAAAAAAATAGGCTCTAATGGGACTGTTCCAACACATAATTGAGTAACATTATCAAAATGTTGTACTGTAGCAGGTTTTTTAGTTTCTGATTTCGCAGCAACAGTACTCAACTCACTCCACGCTCTTAGTTCTTCCAGCTCTTTTCCAGCTGGGTTAAAGACTGTTTCAGACTCTGAGGCACCTCCCTGCGTACGCCGATTCAGCTCTTCCAGTTTAGCCAAAGCTTTTGCTTTCTGCTCTTTAATCCGTTCATCCTCTTCCTTCTGCAGCTGTAAGGCACGTTGCTTTGCCAGCTCCTTCATTTTAGCACGCTGAATATAGATGCACAAAGCATATGATACGTCAGGCCAAGTAATGAAACCTAAATACAGCTTAAAGAAAAAGACAAAATGCATCTATGATAAATAAAAATAACCTGTGCCTGGCTATCGGCTGAGTCAACTATTTCGGCAGCCAAATCCCCTCCATTATTCCCCGAAGTTAGTTCCACGTCCATGACAGCAGGCTGCATTATGCTCGCATGGACATGAGAAGATGGTGTGTTTGCAGCAAGCACACCAGACAGCTCAGTGGCCACAGGTTTCTTATGCCGGCCATTATTATCGCTACCTCTTCCATGCACAAACTCGCTTGGTCTCCTTGAAAGATAGGAAAAGAGAGTTAAGCAACTTTGCTAAAGCAGTAAAAAACATGAAAGATCACTAATAAAGCATTGTTCGAGAACCTAGATGCAACAGCTGGCTGAGAACTTCTATTCCCAGAAGTGGAGGTCCTTTCACCTGGAAGAGCTACCATCTTATTCAATGCAGGAACCTTTTCATGAGAGCCATCAAAATTACCCACTTTGGTAGAAACATCATCAGTATTCATGTCCACGTGCTGAGACCTGAACTTGTGCCCGTCTGATTCTAAGGTCAACAATCCCTCATTTCGACCATCAGAGCGACGAACTTTAACATTTAAACCTTCAATCTTCTGCATCAGGGTAGGATCTCTTGCACCAGCTGTTACTGCTACATGTTTCACAGGCGTTTCCAGCACTCTTGGAGATGATGCAACAGTTATCTGCTGATTTATTGGGCCACTCTCAACCATCGAATTGCGAACATTTGGTTTGAATTTGACAACCTCTGGATCACACCTAACTTCATCATTATCAAAACGCAAAGAATCATGACCTCCTTCTAAGATTACAGCAGAGTACAACTCCTCTTCACCTTCAACATCAGCACCCCACTCCCTCCGTGTTGACGCTGTACTAAATTGACCATTTTTGTTAGATTGTGAGGAATTGGATATTGGCATGTGTTCAGTTATCCTTTTGTCCTCCTTTCCTTCCCATTCGTTATGCTTCAAAAGCACTCTGCTATGAAAAGAGGCATCACCATGATGTGCAGTTTCCTCATGCTCAGAAAGCATTCTGCCAGTAGGACCATTCCGGCCAGCTCTAACATGAGAATGACCAGAACCAGGGTTTGAATATCTATTATGGACAGATGGCCTAGCCATGCCCTTATGTGGAAGATCCCTATCATTGGGACCATAACCCATTGGTGGCCCATAGTAGCCTTCATAAGGGACTGGGCCCCGGTAGAAGCCTGGCCTAAAAGGCATTCTTGGATGAACAAAAGCATCAGGCATCTGAGGCCTGTACAGCTCTCCATTTTTCGGATGATTGTGTCCCCTGGGGCTAGCTCCAGGCATAGGAACTGGCTGTGAATTAGCTAAACCTGGAGGAGGAATCTGAGGACAATAGTAAGGGTATGGTTCAATTGGGAAGCCACCAGGACCAACTGGTGGTCCATAGGGCGGAGCAGTAGGAGGGCCTCTATACCAACCCCCATGAGGAGCAATGGGAGGGGGGCCACGCCATGCATCAAACTGCGGTGGGGGTATATTGGCATCGTGGTATTGCTGAGGCTCCCCATGCCACTTGGATGGGCCAGGCAGGGTTCCATCATCTGAATTTTGGGGCCCATCTCTGTTCCAGGAGCTAAAAGTTCCATCATGAGCATCTGGATAAACAGTCATTCATTGCCAACGTTAAGTAACAGAGTTTATAAAACTTGGAATTAAATTAAAAAATGTGACCATGAACAGATACAAGACCCAAAAATAAAAAAAAAACAGACCAGCTTGAGATGTTTCGGTCTTCTCATTTTTTCCAGGAGCCGAAGTAGGACGGCTATGAGAATCATGATCTGCAAATGACGTAAACCAAGGGTTAAAGCCCACCAAAAAAAAAAAAAAAGAAAAACAAAGAAGAAGGTTTCTTATTGTTTAAAAAAATCCAGAAAACTTGGCTCAAACTTTTTGAGCCAATCAGAGGAGTACTTTGATATCAGCAGAAAGACGTGCTTTCAACTTAACATATACCAAAGCCGCTTGTTACACAGTTGAATCCATCTAAAAGTTAATCATAATTTTAAGATCCGGGACAAGTTCAGGAGGTATGTTGCAATCACTGGATAAATAAGGATAAAATAATTTTAAGATTCAGGAGAAGTTCAGGAGGTATGTTGCAACCACATAATAAAAATAAGGATAACCCAAGAGAACCTCCTAGCCTTACACAAATCACCAAATTTTCCAAGAGCATTTTGCTATGTAGAAAAATTTTGAAAAACGGCAACAAAACAATCTAAAAATCAGAACAAAGCATGAAATCAGATCAAGCTTTGAAATAGAGGAAGAAAAACCCATAGGTATAGGAAAGGAGATGGTCCATCAGGGTAAGAAACCAATGACAAAACATAGACATTCTAAAGCAATAGCAATTAGATCAGTCTTTACTTCCAAAGTCAGACATCCTCTATACTTCCAGTTAACAGTAAACTTGACATCCTCTATACTTCCAGTTTACAATAAACTTCAAATTTTTAGGTGTGCTGAAAGAGACAGTCCAGTACTGTTCTCTTACGTCTATCTTGTTTTCCTTTTCTTCTAGATGAGTTTCTATGGTTTTCTTTTCAACACCAGAAAGACACATTCCATGCACCACCAACATGCATTCAAGCATCTTTGCATTCAAGAATCTACAGGATACTCACCTTTGGGCTCAGAAGTTCTTGCAGAACCGTCTTTGCTTGCACCAAGCGTGGGAAACTCCCCAGAAGAGAGAGAAAATCTTTCATTTTCAGATGATAAGAGCCCCTGATAAATTGAAGGATAATTAGACAAGATAAGTTCATTAAAGCACCGAAATACTCCCCTTCAAGGAGTCTCAGGTTTCAACACTATCTGAACAAAAAAAGGGTGAAATTTTGAATTATTTACAGTAGCATAAAAGTAAATCAAGTGTAATAAGACTTGCAAAAACATGAAGGTACCCTTTTTCAATCATTTAGACAATCTCCTTTGCAGATTATTTACTATATAGCACTGATTATTAGTAGCTGCAACATAGTAACTTGAATGCAAAACAGATTGCAATTAAGACCAAGCAATACCCATCAGTTCTGTATTTGTGTAAGTTACATTTAATCATATTTTACCATCTATCCTTTCCGACAATAATTACTTCAGACCGCAGTTATGTCAGAATCTTATATAGTAAACCAGATATTTGTTCAAAAGAGCAGGTCGTTTCTGGTCAAATCCTAGAGGCCAGAAAACTTGGATTTGAGATTGATTACTTGGAGGATACATTCACAATCGAGAAACTCATAAAGCTCAACTCATCCTTGTCACAGCCACTATGTGACCAACAAAAGAATACCAGGTGCAGCAATGACCAAAAACAAAGTTCAGTACGCGGCGCCTCTCTATTCATTAACACCAGGTTTTTTGTTCTGGTCTTTACATACAGATTTATACTCAACACATATCTAAATATTATTTTAGAGGGTGTAGTATTCTTTAAAAAAAAAAGAAAAAGTAGAGCATTTTCAGAAACACATATGGCAAAATATTGAATTCTGTGATCACCAGTAATGGCACGGTGTCGTGTGGCGGTGCATATTTTGATGGTAAAAAGTGGTATACTGTTGCATTTCAAGGGGAAAAAAAAGAAGGGAGGATAATATAAGGAGAACCGGCACAACCCACCAGCAGAATCCAGAACAAGCCAAAAATGGCAAGTTGGTTGCCGATTGATAAACAAGTTTAAATGAAAAAAATAGGCATATAGTGCAAGGCTTGAAAAACATACCACCTGTTCCACTGCACTTCTTGCGGCTTGTACAGTTGAATTTTCAGGTGAAACTTCAGCTAAGCGTGACCGTTGAGAGCTACTTGTTCTTGTATCTGCACTGTGGGGTCGCAAAGTTGTTGATGATTGATTAGATGGTAAGACTCCAGAAGCTGATGAAGGTCTAGAACTAGGACCCCACGAATTTGCTGGGCGTTCAAGTGCTGTCTCACTACCTGCAGTAGATGGCCGGCTTCCAGTTCCAGCAGATGAAGGACGCCCACTAAGTTGGCTTGGTGAACTAGCACTACCATCAGCATTGGGAGACAGCGCTGTGGAACCCCATGGATTAGAAGACGATGGGCGGCCTCCCCAGCCAACAGTTCTCCTGTCAAGAAGAAAGAAGAGCCAACTGATCACTGAAATCATCTAGCAAACAACAGAAGATGTCGATGTACAGAAAGATAGCCAGCAATCAAGCTACATTTCTCACTAGTGAGCACGCGAATGAGTCGCATCTGCACGTCTAGAGAGATGGACACAACACGCGACACCCACGCTCAGAGGCAGGAGGACAAAAGTACTCACTTTGGAACAATTTCCACATCGCGATCTTGACCATGATTTTCTAACCTTCAGGAATAAAAGCAGAGTGAGTCAGAATTTAACTCCCATCAGATGATCAAAAAACATAACTGTGAAACCCAGAAGATACCTCTGACTGGGTAAGTTCAAGGGTTTTGGAACAGCAACTTTTCCCAAAACTGTCATTCCAGTTCTCCTTGCAGAAGCCCATCTATAACAATATGATCCATGAGAAAACATCATCATGTTTCTAAACAACAAATATCCTGAATGCATAACAAGCAGCACCATACTGCTAGTCTGTAAAAAGAAATATCCAAAAAGTGCTACAAAATCAAATGCCTAACATGATCAAGCTATCAAGTAAAGTAGAGTAACAAAACAGTATCTATTTTCACATACCAGCAACTTAAGATATACCAAAACAACAAAGTAAAAAAGAAGAATAAAAACTCAAGGTAGACAAAAGACAATAAAAATAACACACTAATGAAAGTAGTTTAACGACTTTATTCATTCCAAACTCAAACATGGTAAGATGGCCATCGCATATTAAAACCAAATATCCCTGCAGCAACAAACTCATCTTTCTGCCACCGTCTCTTGAAGTCTTTTGGAGCCACATAGAGATAGAGAAAGTAGCTCTCGCAGAAGTACCAAAAGACCATAAACTCATCAAGTCAATCAAAACCAAAAGGTATGCCACTCATATATTTAACAAATGAATCTTGTGTTGACATTTGTATAAAAGGCTTAATATGCTCTTGAAGCAAATATTCCTTAGCCAATTTCATTTCATCATTCATCCACGCATTTTGTATCCACAAGTTAGAAGTGATAAATAGTAAATATGACAGTTCTTTTTATTTCAATCAGCACTTAAGAGAAAGGTTTACAAATATTTCAATGCAAGAAGAAATGGACTATCCAAAATCCAATTTCATCAACCCACTATTTTTCCTGTTTCCTTTTCTCTTCTACTAAGAAAAGTGAACAAACATTATCAATCAGTCTCTTGAGTACAGATTACACTAATCTCGCATCAAAAAACATTGTAGTATGAACTATGATGTTGAATGTTAATATAAGAAGATGTGCACAGCAACATACAATCAACAAAGACCACATTAAAACACCCAAAAAAATGTGTGTAGGTCCTATAAAACGAGTACTAATAAGAAACTCCATAGAAAGTGACCCTAGAACATCTACACGAGCAACAGTATTAACTACTTCTAATCCACACCACTAGCCTTTGGTAAGCAAACATGCAAAATTATAAGTTCATGCCACCTACATCATAGCACTGTTGTTTTCATATTTCCTTGCTACTGGACTAAGATTGAACCTTTCTGCGATATTATAAGTTCATGCCACCTACATCACAACACGGTTTTAATACTTTCACATCTTAGTACACTTAGATTGAACCATTTGCACTTATTACACTTAGATTGAACCATTTTGCAAGCACAAAATTTAACATATACAAAACTTACCCCTAGCACTTAATGGCCGCGGGTTAAATTAATTAATTCCTACATAAGAACACCTATCTCCATCAGAGCATGCAGATGATAAACAATCCCATCCAAGAAAGAATAAACATCCTAATAAGAACTGAATGCAGAATATTACCAAAAAGATTCACATAAACTCCACTTAAGGGTTCAAACCACCACGACTACAAGAACAAGACTTAATTCCACTATGCAGCCGGCTATTTAAATTATATGTCACCGCCAGTCTCCATCAAAAAGGAGAAAAAAGAAGCCCCTTCTAGATTCAAATACAGCATGTCATTTCTCAATATATTATTTCCAAGTTCTTATCAGGTCTTTCCATTCACCTGTAATTTTAGTTAAAGGTTTCACAATTTCTGCTCATTTTATTAACATAAAAAAAGGTCTTCTACACACATGTGAAACCTAATTGAGAGTGATTTTAGCATATTAATACTGATTGGTACTCCCCTGAATTTCTTTCTAATGCAATTATTACTAATATTATCTAATCTAGTATGACTGCATCCAACTCAACATTCTCACTTATGTAACCCTCCCATGTCCGTTTCAGGTTTTACTAACCATATTAATCATCTTCTTCATATTATCTGTACATCTAGAATTTTACCCATGAAAAGTTCAGGTGTTCTAGAAATTCTGACATACCAGCTACCAATTATTTTAGTATATATACTATTTTTACATTTCTCTTTAACAATTTTACCCATTTTTACCACACCAAAGCCCCTCATCCATGCAATGTAGCTGTCCTGGCAAAATTAACACAATCGAACTCTAGACAACCAAAACTCTACAACGGGTTCCATACAGAAACGAGAATGCGGACAATTCCACAATTTTTCATGCAAATCATATTCGTGAAATGACAAACTTTCATGTACTTCCAAACCTAACGCAATCTTGGTCCATATCGAAAGCTTGAGACTGGGAACTCTAAGCTTGAATCGGAAACATATTAACAATGCAACATATATAACAAATCTAAAGACTTCCAATAGCCTCCTCTACATACAATCTGGTTCTCACTATAGTCACTACTCTGCATTATTTGCATCTAAAACAACAGTCAAGCCTCTGGTAATACCTGATTAAGAAGCAAATGAATCTTTACACTAAACTAATCAAGAGAATTACTTTCTCTATGGAGCTTACCTTTTTTTGCATCTCACTTACACCAAACAGCAAAAACTAGGGCCCAAAATATAAAAAATCTAAAAAGTTAACATCCCAAGAAACACCATCAGAAATACTGTGAAAACTTGCGTGACGATTGTAATGGACACCACGAAACAAGAGAACCCAACACTATCACAACAACAACAACAACAACAACAACAACAACAACAACAACGTCAAGATATACGCAGCCTTACCCCTGTATTTTAATACAGAGAGACTGTTTAAGTAATACGACCCAAGATGCATTGGAGCATTGGTGTATTGATTTCCGGCAACTTCACCAAATTAAGAAGCGTCGGAATTTAAATGAACCATTCTGATATAATCCATTTTGATCTAACCCAACACTATCACATTAGACATAATTCGTACCTTCGTTCTCCTGCAGTAAAATTTGATGTCATCTTCCAAATAACATTCCCAAGATTATTCCAATGGAATTGATTTGGTCTGAAACAGAAATTGCAACATTATTCATCAGCTCCAGCTAGAACTTCAATATTGCAATTAAGAAATAAATGAACCATCACATTCAAGTTTATTTCAAGTGCTTCAAACCAACATGATACTAAAAAACACAATAAAGCACACGATAAAGAAGCCTATTTGAGCCGAAGAGAAAAAATAACTCTCCAACTAAGTGAAGAATAGCAAATATTGAACCATGAAAATATCAAGCAACAAAAGATGAATAATATCACTACCCCAACTTATAATAGTCTATGTAAGCCTGAGCACCATAAAGGAAACCTAATTCAATTTAAAAATGTAGTTTGACAAAAAAAATTAGTCATTACAACTTCAAATTAAGTTCTTCAAAGATTCTAGATTGAAGATTGACACTGTAATATTAAATTAACAGAGAACACACATGAACGCGTGTTTGTTGAACCAATATGTACACCTTACCCAATGTTTAGCCTAAAACGAAAAAAGACAGCAGCTTTACTCAGAAAGAACCTTATAGTGATGAAAACAACTGACACAACCAAACGCAACCAAAACAAAAGCTTTAAGGTCTTGGACGCCATAAACAATACTAGTAGACCCAGAGCACACTCAAGTGCTTAACTGCAGTATCAAAGACTCCTTGGAAAACCCGATCTTACTACACAAAATGATTCATCCAAGGTACAAGCAGAAGTTGAAATCTACCTCCAAAAAACCTAATTCAACCTATAAAGTAAAGCACAAAAAAATCCCCACATCTTCAGACGTAGAGCATCTCTCACAGGGTATTTCATGCCTATCCCTATAAGAAAATATCATTCAATCCTCACATAAAAATCCCATCTTAAACAAAACCCTAAAGGCAAAATTTATCCCAAACTCCAGAAAACCAATTACAGGGCCATATGTTTCTAGAAACCAAATATTATAAATTTAGATTCCATTAAACCAATAACGGGCCAATAACAGGGCCGTGGTCTAGTTTCAGCTATGTGAATAACAATGCACCTAAATTAGCTAGGCATGCTCAACTCCTTCAACTCCCCATAAAAATATTTTAAAAAAAAATCTTAATTTTTCTTCCCGGGAAATTAATTATCCGGTTATCAGTAACAAGGAGATTACCTCTGTTTCGCTGAGGAATTAAATACCAGCTTGTTGGTTCTTTGTCTGGACTTCTCCCGAATCTTTCAAGCTTCCTTCTGTGGACTTTATGTCTTCCCCTTCTTTTTCCCTGCTTTTTTTGAGATTATCCCTTCAGTTCTATATTATTGTTTCTATTCGAAAGTTTTTGACTACTAGCCAAAGATGACCATGGCTTCGGTAAAGCTCGACACCGATAACGGAACTTGGTGAGGTCGGGATATTCACGAGAGGGAGGAAAAACACAATTGAAAACTCACCGGGAAAATTAATCGGGTCGGATGTTTGTACAATCTCCGATCTGGGCACGGCGAAAATTTTCCGATTTAGCCTATTACGCAAAGTTAATAATTTCAAAAAAAAAAAAAAAATTGGAAAGCGAAAACTATGGCAGGATGGCGAAGGAAGAAGAAGGAGATCGATGACGATGTGATGACGTGTGACTATATAAAAGCGAAGGGAAAAGAAATTAAGGTGATAAGAAGAGATCGTAGAGGCGGAGGAGGGTTAAGGAAACGGATGAACGACGGCGGTTCGGAGTCGAAGTGGTGTTTTCAACTTTGCTGATTTTTTTCTGAAAACAATATTATTCTTTATTATTTTAGCCCTGCTTCTGCTTCTGAGTTTTAAATAGTGTCATCAGAAGTAAAAACGAAAAGGCTAATCGGCTTTTTTTTTGTTTTCCTTTTTTGGGAATATATAAATAATTCTAATAATAACGGGAAGAGGAAGAACAAAAATCAATGGCCTTTCTTAAATTAAGAAAAAAAATTAGAATATGGACGGAGAGAGATAATAATAATAATAATTATATAGTAGCAACCAAAAAAAATCCTACGTATATCTTCTTCTTTTTCTTAGAAAACAGAAACTTAATTAGAAATCAGCCGGCTCTGATTAATACAAGAAATTTAATGTTGTCAACCAAACTAAATTATCAACTATATTGGACTTCACATAAATAGCGATAACATGTGCCATTTCATTCACTACTCTTAGAATTCAAAACAAAGCATTAAAGGACAATTCCAACAACAAAACCCTAATCTCAATAAGAATTAGTAAATAAAAATAAGAGCAATCGGCTTCTCCCACTGCAACTAAGATTGCCATGGAAGAATCACCCATAATTGTTGCATTTTGTACCTTGATGGTAAGTAATGCATCCTTTAGAGCTAAAAACTCCACCATCTCTGACGGAGTAACTCCATGCGCACATCTTCCTTTTGCACAAATAAAACGGTCAGAATCTTTCACATATATCCCAACAATAGCACATCTTCAAGATGTTAATACAGTTTCGTCGAAAAAGACATAATTTTAAAGATTTTTTGACACTAATAAATGGCATGAACGAAGAGAAGATGACCAAGTTTCAGGTTACAGTCTGAAAATTATTTAAGCCGCCAATATATGGGGTCTAAATTGCTTATTTTCGAACAAAGCATCATTTCGAGCATACCAGAGAGCGTTGCATATGGATCCAGAGCGTTCAACTACAGATTTATCACAATTTAGGATCACAACTTTAACCCAAAGATCCCACTGTAGTTGCTAGTAATTAAGGATGATGGGTCGAATTCTAGCTGCCATCCATACATGATTTGGAAATTAACACCAAAAGAAAATGTGGATAGGCGAATCTGTATGAGTAGAGAGAATGAAGGGCAGATTGATTCAGGGAACCATAAAAAAGAGAAGTGATTTGAGATAAGTTGAATGAATCATTTAATCAATTAATTTGATGGACAAATAAAAAGTAATTGGATATCGTAAATCGCTATATGTAACTATCTTTACTTATATAAACTTTAAACCGAAATAAAGAAAATTATGATGAGATTAACAACCTAATCAGCTGTCATATGATTAAGATATACTGTAATTGAAATGCATCTTTATATTATAATTTCAATTCATTAATTTTGTTGATTATTTCGAAATCTCATGATTTTTGGGATTTATTATCATATTTTTCATCCATTAATGTAAACTACACCTGCGATGAATATAGCCTTATTCCACCACTACAACCAGAACTTAATCTGTTTCTTAAAAATATATATACATATATATGATTAAAAATACAATTAACAACTTAATCACAATTTTTATTCGCCTCATCTTTAAACCATTATGAATTTTTAAAATTTTGAAAATGAAATACAAATACTTTCCCTCTAACCACAATTAACACATTAATCCCTCAATTTTTTTATCGCTTTTTGATAATGTCCTATAAATACTCATAAATGCACTTTCACACATAGCCACATCAAGATACTATGTATTTTATATGGCAATAAACCTTAATTTTCTTAACGAAGTTGATAGCTCTCGAGAGATTGGATATAATGTGAAAGTATATGTTCTACGGGTGTGGAATTATATAGAATATAAATATGAAAACGATGTTTATCTTAATTGGTAAAATGTATTTTATTTGTATCCATTTTTATACAAATTTACATTTTTTCTTTTTTGAAATTATTAAATTTTTTTTAAATGATAACCAATAATTACTTTTATTTTTTTAAGTTATTCTCGAATTTTTGGTTGTCTTTACAGTACCCGCATAGCGTGCGAAGCCACTATTCATTGTCATCTTCATCATACTATATTATAATTGCAGAATGTTGAATGAATTTGGTGGTTTATCTTAAAGTATTAACTCATGAAGTGTAATTTTTTTTTTGGAAAGAAAAAGGTGAAAATGTTTTGATTCGGTGATCTTTAATACTCTTTTTTTTCATTTTAATTTAAAGATTATAAATAAATCAATATTTATTATTAGATTAATTTTATCGGCCAAGATATTGTTTCACCGATTTATGCCTCTTTAAATTTCTCATTGTCTTTTCATCTTCTCTTTTCTACACTATATATTAAAGGAGAGTTTTCAATCGACACGTGTCACTCAATTTCAGATAGTTCAGAGCCTTCTTCGCCACATGTCAAGTTCAGAGTTTTTTTTGACACGTGTCAACACCAGAGACACCCTTTCATTAAAGTATTAAAATTTTTTATAAATTAGTTATTTAAATTTAATTTTCATCCATGCATTTCACACATCTTTATTACATTCTATATATATAAATATATTTGATTATCTACTTAATTAATATTGAAAATCCTATCTTTTCCGTTGCTAATTAATTTTATCTTTTTTTTTTTGGTTACTAAGAATGATTTTTCACACATTTTTAAGCAGAGTTCATTGTGGTGGAATTGTTTTTGAAAAAAAACATAAAATTTTATTTCAGTGGATAAAAAATTATCAAGTATGTATAAATTGTAGTATTTTTCAGGAAAATCTAACAAAAAATATTACTAAAGAGATGTTGTATAAAAAATTATATAGTTTTACATTTCTTTTTTCCTTTTGAGTTCGCTAAAACTTTCATTTTGATTTACTAAATTTATTTGTAAAAATTTATGAAATTACATTACCAAATTATTATCAATTTTATCGATTATTAGTTCTAGAATTTTACTATGAATGAGTCATACTAATATTTTAATCTTTCAAAATGTAAACTATCTTGAATATGAAATATAAAAAAAAAAGAATATAATTTACACAACAAAATACGAACAAGAATTGATATACTACAAATCTCGACACAAAATTTATTATATTACGATGATAATGTTCGGCTCACATGTGATCATATTTTTACAATTTCACATAAAACATATAACACAATCCATGCAATGCACGGGGATAATTCTAGTTTGAGTTTAATAAGAGTTTTGTATCAAAAAAAATAATAAGAGTTTTGTATCTTAAATTCACAAATACATAATTTTC